GAGGATCAAACCCAGTGCCTCACACATGCTAGGCGAGCGCTCTACCTCTGAGCCACAACCCCAGCCCCCCACCTTATGTATTTTTAAAAATAGTTTTCTGATCAAATCTTCTTTTCCAATAAATTCTAATAAAAAGTATAGGTTTATGCTGAATAATTATAGCAAACTGTTAAACTTCATTGATAATAGATACAAAAAAATTAAAAGTTCAAAAATTCCTATGCCTAACCAATACATTGGTACAATTTTGTAGCTAATGCTAGTGTTCTAAACTTTGAAACAGCACTTTATCTAGAAATGTAGAAGAACTTCATTATGATGAAATTAATTGGCAGAATGCTTTGTTGTTCTTGAGGGTTCTCTAGAAAACTCTGGAGAGCAGCAGATTGCAGCAAGCACAGCTCAGGATATTAAGAAAAAAGAAGCTTTAGGAGGTAGAACCAGTTACAGGGTGGAAGACATTTCAACTGCAGCTTTTCAAAGAAGATAATTAGTGAAATCCAAGAGGTGGATGAACACCTGTAGTTGATAATGCTGACATAAACGTTAACAATAACAAACTGGGGTGGAATGGTGCTATGGTTTGGATCTAGAATGTCCACCCAAAAGCTCATGTATTGAAAGTATGATCTCCAGTGCAGCAAGGTTCAGGGGTGGCAGGGGTTGTGGGTAATGGTAGGATCATAAGGGCCATTAGTGGTATAATCTATCAAATGAATCTGACAGTTGAATGTAATAAAGAGGTATGACCTAGTTGGGGGAAGTAGGTCACTGAAGGCATCCCCTGGAAGGTTTTATCCCCCACCCTCCCTGCATACTTTCTAGTTGCCATGAGCTGAGCAGCTTTCCTCTGCCATGTTTCTGCCAATCAACCATGGATTCAACTTCTGAAACTGTACATCAAATAAATCCAGAGTTTGGTTACAGCAACAAAAAGCTGCCTAACACAAATGGAGAAAACCTGTTTAAAAGTATGTTCTGGTTTAATTAGAACACAGCAATAAAGACTAGGAAGTTAATATCAGAAGATGGTTCATATTAAAAAAATTCTCTCTATCCCCCTCTCACTCTCTCTTTAAAAAAAAAAAAAATTAAAAGGGCTGGGGATATAGCTCAGTGGTTAAGCACCCCTGGGTTTAATCTCTAGTACGGGGGTGGGGGGGAGAGGGTGAACACCCACTCAAAAACCAGAAAATTAAGAATGAAAAAAAAAAATTCTCTCACAATAGCACAGGCACTCTATAGATGGAGAAGATTTCTTAGTAGGGGCTGGGGTTGTAGTACAGCGGTAGAGTGCTTGCCTAGCACGTGTGAGGCCCTGGGTTCGATCCCCGGCACCACATAAAACTAAATAAACAAAATAAAGATATTGTGTCCATCTACAACTAAAAATATTAAAGAAAAAAAAAGATTTCTTAGTAAAAGCAAACGAACTAGAATGGATATGAGGTTCTGGAAAAGAAAATATTTGCATAAGTGATTTACTCTCATCTAG